ATTTCAAACCTCCACTGCCTTGTGGCTATATCCACTCATGGAAAAGGCTTCAGGAGTTAACCTCGAGGCAAAATCCGGAGCTGGAGTCCCGAAGGCGGCATGTGTCGTTCTGCCAACTCCTGCGACATTGCTGGAACCAGTTGTATTGGCTCTTGCCTTTCCATTGGATCATTTCAGCAATGTGGAGAGGGGGGATCTGCTGCTTGGGTAGCAGCCTATCCTCCATATTACCTTACCCGGGTTTCATGCTCTGGAGAGGACACTCCTCGATTCAGAGCATGTTACCATAGTCTCTTGAGACTGAAGGATGCCTATGTATGTATGTTGGAGGAGAATTTTACAGCTACGTTGCCTAACCAGAAAGACAAGTACAGTGGTGCCTCGCAAGACGAATGACTCGCAGGACGAAAAACTCACAAGACAAATGGTTTTGGCGATGGGGGTTGATGACTCGCAAGACAAATGTTCCTGTGGCGGTGCTTTGCAAGACGAATGTTTTCCGTTTTTTGTTCCTGCCTCATGTTTGCTGATTTTTAAATGTTTTTCTATTATGTTTAAAATGATTTTTGATAGATATTTTTGAAATAATCTGCACAATATCTATGGCATTAAAGAGCACTTAATAAAGGTTTTTTTATGTTAAGTGTGAGATGATTTTTTGATGTTAAGTGTGAGATAATAAAGCCTCTGTAAACAAAATTTGACTTTGTTTTAACTTTTTTTGCCCATAGGAACGCATTAATTAGATTTCAATGCATTCCTATGGGAAAATGCGTTTCGCAAGACGAATTTTTTCGCAAGACAACGTTAACTGCAGAATGAATTAAATTTGCCTTGCGAGGCACCACTGTAAGTGGGGTTTAGATCCCATAAAGCCTGAGTGCTCCTAAAGGCGGACATCATGACAATAGAAGATTTACAGAAAGCAACAATAATGCTAGGAAAGGTCAAGAGTAGGCAAAGACGTAACGTGAGATAGATCGACTGAATAAACGAAGCTCTCTCCCTGTGTCTGTAAGATCACAGCTGGCCTGTTAACGACCGGTCCATTTGGAGGAAGCCAATAAAGTTGCAAGTAAGAAGCCCGTAACAACAATGGGCAGGACTTTACGAAGTTGCTTTTGGGACTAATACTCAAAGAATCCTCTGGCCATCATGGAGAGGCTGGGAGTTATAATTTCCCAGCTGAAACTGGAGGCTGAGGCCATCATTGCTCAGTGGGTAAGAAACACGAGTAAGCGAGTCCTTGGATGGAGGGCAATGGGTTCCCTCTTTTATGATATTGGATAATTTCTCAGGAAGCCTGCTGCAGAAGAGGCGTGCCCTCTTTAACAGCAGACCCCCAAAGGGAATATATTTGTTAAACATTATAATTATCCTTCAATCCCGCTCTGTATGGCAATCCAATCTAGACTGATGCGCATTACCATTTCTGAAAGGATGCTTTCATTTAGATAAGGCACACAATTATACATCTTGATTAGGTCACTCTTCCCGGGAGCTTTTGAGTTATTTATTTTTACGAGTGGCCCCTTCTTGCAGATTGTGCTGCAGAGAAGAGAATGGAGATGTGTTTCTCAACTTCCCCGAGTCAATGGTGTGCGTTTTTGCCTCTCTCACCCTTTTGCTCTAGAAAACAATCAAAGTGGCTAGCAAGAACAGAATGTTAAGAGAAAAGCAACTTCAGAAAGGCTATTGTATTTTCTTGAATGATGGGAGCTACAGAGAAGTTCCAGATGAGTTCCTTCCTATAGGCAGCAGAATAGTATTTGGGTAATAACTATAAACTGTAATGGTTGGACAGTGTCACTGAAGCGACCGACATGAATTTGACCCAACTCCAGGAGGCAGTAGAAGACAGGAGTGCCTGCCGTGCTCTGGTCCATGGGGTCACAAAGAGTCGGACACGACTTAACGACTAAACAACAACAACAAAATAACTGTAATGAACCACAATAGAGTCTTGTGAAGGGAGCTTTCATGATCTTACAATTCTTCACCACTCTGGACATGTTATTTATTTCTGTCCCATTCTGCCTTTATCTATATAGACTAATGATTCCCAGCCTTGCGTCCCCAGATCTTCTAAAACTCCCAGAAGCTTTCGCCACTAGCTGTGCTAGCCAGGATTTCTGGGAGTTGAGAACCACTGCTTTAAAAGAAAAGCCGTCATAGGGTGTAGCCATCTTCTAGTTGACTGGAAGGTTGTGGTTGCGTTGCACCTGGAGAAGATAACATTGTGGGCCTCCGAAGCTAAATCAGTTGAATTCAGTGTGTTCACAGTAGTTTGGAGAGCTCACGGCAGTGCACGCCTGCATCCAGAAAACCGATGAAAACATAAACCTGGCAAAGTTTTTAATCTAACAAAATGTATAATAAGGATTCCTCCCGCCCCCCAAAGCACAAAAATAGCATGCTCTTTCAATGCCTTCCTACGTTTCCTGTTGACAACCTGGCTTTAATAATCTGCCCATGACAGTGCAACTGTGTTTGCTATTTGGGCGCGTGACTCAACATGATAGCTCTATTTGCACGTACAAAAGACCCAGCGAGAGGGAAGGAAATTTCGCCTTTATGTGGGAGAGCATCTCCCACTTGCAAATATTTATTTGCAGCCATTATCCGTTTTTGTGATTTAAAGAACCACCAGCACATGAAAAGGTAAACCAGTTTTGCTGTTTCCTAGCTCCGTTGTGTTTGAAAAATTCACCTGTGATATTGCAGCCTGACTGAGTCCAAAAGTTCATTAAAAAATATTGCTACTTCTAACGCAGGAAGCAATATTTACTGTGTGTTCTAATTGCTCTCATTAAGCTTAGGTGGCATTATTAATATTACTAATTAAAGAGCTATAAAATCCTGCTTACAGTGAACATAAGCACATCAGTATCTGTTTCTATGTTCAAGCATCAGAAGCTGACATATCCAAATACAAATTACAAAGAGTAATCAGATACCTCGATGGGGAAACAATACTCTCTGATG